TTTTTTTTTTTTTTTAGACTAACCGAAGCGAATAGCAAGTTAATGATCTGCTAGCTTTCATCTCTTAATTAAATAAGAAAAGTAATATCTATCGTAAATGCTTATTACTGGGCATGACAGCAAAAATCCTTACGGTACTGGTAAAGTGGCGAATAACATTATCTGTTAAAAGAACTCGTGAGTGCCTATTTTCATGCATGTTGGGGAGAGGATTTAAATAGTCCGGGTAAATCGAAAGAATAAGCAAAACTGCAAAGCAAAGATCACCTTTAATGATAGCGGCATAAAGTTTCTTCTAAAACTCCTAAAGCTAATTAAACATATCGTTTCGCTCTATAATACAAGCAGTTTTGAAATTTCGAAAATTTGTCAATATGACGGGCCATCGACTTAAAAATAACTGTAGTTGCAAACAAAACATGACTCGCAATAGTAATTTTTATTCGTACGAAGTAGTATTAACTTTGTTGTATGAACGCATCAATATTAATTAGTAAAATGCCGATTACGTAGCGTAACTAGACATGGCTACGCAAAAACGATTTATTCATTTATCTCCAGACATGTATCTCATCAATCTTCCATCTTACAACATGTAAACAAATGAAATGAAAAAAAAAAACTTGAAAATTCAAAAAAAAAAAAAAATCAAGCCCCGTGCCGTTTTCCGGCTGGCCCCCCCCCTCCCCCTCCACGGAAAAAAAAAATTTGTTTCAGTTTTTATTTAAAATTAGTCGCCTGCAGCTATGTTATAATAATTGAAAGTAAAGCGAGGAAAAATAAAGCAAAATATTGTTAAGCATCACTTATTTATCGAGAAAAATGATGGGAATAACATGTGAAAGGTCACTTATACCTAGAATAAAATTATATCTCTTTGCTGTTTAAGATGTATTTGAAAAACACGTTCAATTCTTAATGTATACGTACACATATATAGGACCGAAAAGTAACAAAGCCATCTTCTATACTAATCTAATTAATTTCTTATGTGAAATATGTTTCTGAGGCGTGATGACACATATGTATAGAAAAAAAAATAATAATAATATTATTAAAGTGAAATAATATAAAGCAATGTTTTCCAACTGCCAACTTTTATATATGTCACTGTTTAAAATATTCTTTAATTTGCATATATATGAATCGTCTTCTGCTGCCTGTTTTCATTTAAACATTCCGATCACGTACTAACCCTATGAGATTAATTAGAAAAAGTTTCTATAATTTTCATTTATGTAATGCAAAAATTAAATAAATAAATTTTCCACAAGCCAAGATTAATTTATATAATTAAAATGGAAAGCGCCATATAATTGGAATATCTACTACTACACGTGTACAATACATAAAAAAAATAAAAAATACAAAATACAAAATACAAAATATATATAAATAAAATGTTTTAATTAAAACTTTTCATGTACATGGCCATAAATGCGATAACCAATTGCTTAACATCTTATTATAAAACCATTAGAAACAAATTTTCATAATGCAATCGGAAATGGTTTTTAGTTAGTTTACTTACTAAATATTTAGAGGTAAAGAACCATCGGTTATGCTTATGTCGGGTAAAATGTTCATTTTTAACATGTAACGGACATCGATTACTGCTAGTGCGCATTGTTGCTAACGTTGCTAATGGCTTGCCTTGTAACTAAAATCCTTTTTGAAAAATGCTATTAAAAAAAAAAAAAAAAAAAAAAAAAAAAAAAATCAACAAATTTTTGAAAATATTTCAGACTTACAATGTGGCTGTGCACTATCACCGTATGGACAAGTGTCACCAGGTATTAAACGAATTTAAAATTTAAAAAAAAAAAAAAAAAAAAAAAAAAAAAAAATGCAATTTATAAAAACTAAATATAATAGTATTATGACTAAAGTTATTACCAAATTCTCAAAGTCAGGTACAGAAAAATAAATGTATTAACTCGCTTTGCACGAAGAGTTTTATTAAATTTAAGTACAAAAAAAGTACGGTACGGTCGCAGTCATCAGCCTAGGCTAACTAACCTGTCAACGTGCCCTGAATGATTTTCTTCTTAAATTTAATATTCATCGCTTCTATGAATACTAATAGAATTTTTAAAATATTGTTAACAAGAAGGAAGCTTATGTTCAACAAAAAGCACCTTTCGATTGGCCAAACCAGTCCTATTTATACCAAGTACCAGATATAAAAGGGATATAGGAACTCATTCAAACCTAAATAAGTCCTATACGACGTATGAGTGGCTAGTAAATTAATTGTTTCCGTAGGACTTTTATTTTTTGTTTTTTTGTGAAAATAGATGCTCGCAGATGTTATCCTTATCTGCAATAATATCCACAACCGCGCACGAACCTTATTTACTGGATGCCGCGTATATATATATATATGTTATATATGAAAAGAGAGATATGATTCCATTAATTGGATTTACTTCCTCTTTTATTTGCACCCATCATCGAAGGATTGGAGGGTATATTCATTTTGTCAAATCGTTTGCAACGGCCAGAAGGAAGCTTCAGAGACCCCGTGAAGCATATCCTTTTGTCCGTCTGCGTAATCTCTGTTGTAAACATGCTTCTGGTCGCAAAAATGATGCAATCGACTTTTAATTTGGCTGAAACATGGGAAGTTCTCGCACGCAGGTTTGCATTGAAAATGGGCTAAATCGGTCGAGGGACACGCCCACAGCACAATGTAAACTGAGAACACCTCCGCTTTTCAAAAGCATTACAAAATGGGATTTTTGCTCATTACTGATAAACTATAGGAGATAAATGTACAAAAATTTGAACGCATATTCTACGGACGAAAAGGCAAAAATTTACCACGCCTACCCAATATTTATAGTGTATCATGAAAACTCTTTTTTTTTTTTTTTTTTGCAATATCTTTATAACGCACAGAAACAAGCTGCAAAAGTTTCAAACTTGAAATGCATCTGAACTGTGTAGCATCTGTGGCAAACATTGTTCCGTCAGCGCGAATGAAGATATCGCTTACAAGTTTGCAAAAAACCTTGGAAATGGTCTAAGGTTTTCAAAGGACACACCGACAACGCCCATGCGCTTATGCGACAAAAACTTTTATTTTGCAAATTGAGAAAATCAGTCGCGCCCACTCCGTATTATAGAGCACTTTTTATCATTTTTAGGATAATTCGATTCTCTCCTCCTCTCCTCGAGAATTTTCTTACTTGTTCTTACATGCTCTCGCACGAAACCTTTTTGTACCATATCCTTACCTTAACCAATAAACGAATGAAGAAGCATTATGTATTAATAAGAAGCGATAAAACATCTCAACACTAGGCGCTGTCTATTTTCGATCACCTTTCACGAGCAACAGGGAAAACAATCCGTCTTTGAAATATGTATATAACGACTGCGAAAGCCCAGAAGCTCTAATCAGTCAGATGTTGTTGCATTATTCGAAACAAATTTTACTTAAAAAGATTTAGTGTTCGTAGGGAATAGTGGGTATGGTAGAACTATCCATTTAGAGCGATTTTCAAACTCTTAACGACTTGAGTGTTTCTTGGTCTTGGGCTTGGGGTCTCTCTGATTTGTGTTTTTTTTTTTTTTTCGGATATAACAAATGGAATAAGCCAAACCGATAGTTCATATTTCGATGGACTTGTGCAATAAATTTGCAGATCAGAAAGTGTAGTTTGTAGTCGGAATAAAAAGAAAAAAATATATTGTTTTTTAATCTTAAATGGATTACTACGTATACTAGAGAAGTGAAATATCATTTGCAAAAAAAAATTTTATTTCTTAATACAATGTTTTTTTTTGGTTTTCTATCAAAATTTCCAATATTTTTGCTTAATATAAAAGTAATAAAGAAGAGGAAACGCAATAAGCAAGGTATTTAACGATGCAATGTTATATAAGTTAAAAAATTTTTGAAACATTTTTTTGAAATATATTTAAAACTTTTGCGTTCTTTTTTGTGGTAGGAGGAGGGGTTTTGCAATTTTCTAATTTTTTCTTCTTTTCCGTTTTCATCGTGCCTGTAGTGATAGCTGAGTGTGTAATTATACTAACGTATGGATATTATGTAAATAAATGTTTAAAAATTTAACCTTGATTGATTTTAATTACTTAATCAATAGTTTGTGTGAAATATGAGAAATTGTAATCAAATTAAAAAAAACTTCTTTCCATTCTATTTACTATCGCTCATGACCCGTAAAAATGTCTTAAATACACGTTAAGTTGATTTTGTACATAAACCTATCAAGTATTTTTCTTTTTTTTATGAAAGTAATTCGAACTCCATCAGCCTAAGAAATTATATAAGAAATTGTTTCGATTACTTGAACAAAGAGCATTCCCATAATGGAAAGTTGGAAATATTAACAACTGGCAATGCCAGTACTATTATTATTATTATTATTATTATTATAATTTTAGACTAATGAAATAAATTCTTAGACTAAAAAAAAAAAAAGAGACATTGAGCACTAGCAACACAGGCTATCGGCTCTAATTTAAATAAATGTACATTAGACAATGAGCTTAGTAGTATTAATAAAGTTATATATATGGAAGTGATATTCGATTCTGAAACTGATTTTCGACTGTCCAAAGGGTTAATCGTTCCAAATGCGATACTTCTAGCCAAGGAAAAGTTAAGGCAGTCGCAGAGAATATGCTTTATAGTGAGAATTTGTCCACAACTTCAGATTGGGGAGGAAGACTTACCCAAGATCCATTGGTGAGTTGCAGATGTATGACCAAGGCGAATTCTCGAAAATGTTTGGATTTTGGTTTTCTCAACATTTGTTGGATATAAAGGTGGAGTTCATTCAGGGTTTATGGAAGAGTAGTATTGATGATGGTATTGTAAATCTTTGAAGGTCCAACTTTTCCATGAAATCATCCATAATTAGAGGAGGACAAGCAGCATACTTCGCCGCTCGATCAGCCTGCTTTGTTTCCCAATAAACCGATGTGACTTGGTACCCATAGCGCTTCAATTTTTCCATCGGGTATTGTAATTGTATTCCTTATCTCGAAGTCGAAGGATTCCGAATAGCTTATAATACAGACAAACTGTTGGTAACAATGACGGTTTTGAGTTTGTTTTTCTGAGCAAGGTTCGCAACGTGAAGGATAGCTCTTATGCCAGTACTAAGTATTGTATTAAGAGGGAAATTTGTGATATTTTTCTTATGTTTTTTTTTCTTTTTTGTAAAAATCAATTTTCTTATTTAAATCATAGCCACCTAATATATGTGCAAGCAATTCATTACTCAAAACGAGTCTTTTCTTCTTTGAACAAATTTGGCTTCTTCCTAAACCGCTTCGATCGAAACGATTAGACGCGTTAAACCATTTTCACTTGGGGATTGCTTGACCTAATGTTTTCTCTGTTGATTTTCAACTTGTCTAATGCAATGAAAGAGGTCTTCAGGAGGGCGCTTATGGTTATTTAAAAGCCTTAGTGCAGCTTCGTTAGGCGACTTGAATGCTTTCAATGCTTCTTTTCAGAAATTAAAAGTTCGGCATAAAGCGTTTTAAGTTGTCTATGAATTCTGAATGCAGGAAAAGCATTAGGCTTCAGCATAAGCATGAAAATGAAGTAAGTTTTTTTTTCCTCATCCACCTACACTCCTTGTCACAGGGCTCTTTAAGAGAATAGGGCCGTTGCTATTTATTTTGATTGTTTTTTAATATCAGTATAGTAACACTTCATAGCTTTCCGCAATATTATTATTATATAACTTTTCTCTCGATATCAAAAACAAAATTTTCAGAAAACTCTCTTCCTTGGGTTGTTGCACTAGCCTTAGGCGATTAAATGAACTTTATTATGATAAACAAAATACGATGTGTTTTGATCAGTAAATCATTGTGGAAAAATTTGGTGAAAGTTCTAAGACTTCCAGGCGAATAGAAATCTGAATAAGGTAACTTCCACAAGTCTGTTCTGGATTCTTTCTTCGATTTGATCAACAAATAGTTAAACAGAAGACGGCGAGTCTTCAAAATCATTTCCAGAGCAACATGGGCCGCTAACTTCAACGAAGAAATCTTTACTATGAACCCCCTGAAGTCATGAAACAAGCGAACTCATACCGCCTTTTTCGGCTCATCTGCAAAGCGCGACTTGCAAATGTCGCAAGTCTGTCTCTTTTAGATTGACCGTGAACTTTTCTCTGGACTGATTAAGTTTACTGAGTCCTGAAAGTTTAAAACTAAACGAACGGAAGATTAAATGAGTGAAGAAATGAATTTTTGCACTAAATTTAACAACCGATATCAAGTACGATAAGAGCTTAAGATCTCACTTTGTCTTGCGGATATTTTGAGAATAGGTGTTTCACATATTTCTAATAACTGAGAATGCATATAATAAAATAAATCAAAATTGTTTCTCGTTTGACTTTACTTTAGTTCAACATTGGCTCGCAGAAGAAAATCGAATGCATAACCGAAGTGTGTCAAGAACTCATTCAGATATGCGGGTTCTATGGAGCAAGTACTCTGATTGGCCAATCACTACTAACGTCCGTCACGCTAATCGTTAACATTTATTCTCTTCTCGTCTGCACATCCAAAAAAATAATTTTAGTTTGCAAATTTAGTCGACGTTGTCTGTAGACTAGTTTCCACTATGTGAGAGAGATAGGACCGTTAGTTACTAAGATCACTCAGATTTTATCAGGGTTCACATACACATAGAATACGTACGAGTACATTGCCAACTAAGGCAAACGTTTGATGTGCCAACTGACCCCATGCCTATCGGTAAGGAGTGAATCGCATCGAAGCGGAAATTTAGCGGAAC